CCCTGGCAGTGTGGATGCAAGACATTTTCCTGGCTGCCAAATCTAGCCTTACTTGGGAGCCTAGATAAACAGAGTATGAAGACCTAACTTTAGTACTCTGCAGACTTAAGCCTAAAGAAGCATTTCTTCTTATGGAAGACAACTCCAAGAAATCTTCAAATCATCTGGTGAAAAGCCCATAAAAGGAAAAAGGAGGTCCTGAAACTTTCTAGAAGGCGATGCTTCTACTAATAAAAACCATTCTACTGTGGTCTCATGCTCATTCTTTGAACTTAGAATATTATGCAGCTCTAGGAAATAAAGATGTTCAATAATTGCTATTTTAAAATGATATAAAAAATAATAAAGCAAGAACACACTCAGAAGAGGAAAAAAATAAGCCCATGGAAATAAAACCTGAAATAATAACCCAGTCCAAGTAAGGATATTGGCTCCAAAGTCACGAGTCATGGCAGAGAAAATATTTGATAGAAATCGGCTAACCACGTACTGCTTGTGGATACAAGAATTTTTTCAGAACTTAGATGTATTCCAGAGAGAAATGACAATAAGGGAACCCCCAAAGCATGTAAGGACACACCTTTCAGAACTGTGTATGCCACTGTCACTCATGGGCTGGTTTTCCCAAATTCTCCAAGGGAGGGCTGGAAGAACAGGGTGGGAAATGATTCTAGAATTGGGGCTTTGTTCGTTCTCCACCATTTTTACAAGCCAGTAGTGTTTTTGAGAATGTGCGTCTTACTTTCCCCACTCAGACGCACCTCAGATTTTCTACGCTATTGAAAAGTGGGAGGGATTAGCCTTATTTTTGGCAAGGCAAAGCAGTGGAGGCTGGTTGGGGTGAAAGGGTGGGTGGAAGGTTCTTCAGAATTCAGCACACGTGTGCTCACTGAGCGTGGTGGAGCAGAGAATGACAAAGCAAGTCTTGCTTATTCTAGCCCTTTGGACACCCTAGGGATTGCCACATGGCACCGTTTGAGAAACGCTATGAGGAGGAGGCTAACAGGACAACCGTTAGCATGTGGTCCCACAGGCAGAAGCCAGCAGAGAACCTGTGATTTTCAAAGTGCCCTTTGTGTTTTGGGGTAGGAAGCCATGGCACCTTCAAGACCTGTTTAACCCCAAGTCAGGAGAACACCAAATAGAGTGTGTGTGTGTTGGGGACAGTACAGTATTGTGGTTAAATGGATGGGACTTAGAGGCAGGTTGATTTGGGTTCAAGTCCTGGCTCTCTCACTAGGTGACTTTTAGTAAGTTCCTGAATATTTCTGAGCTTATTTCCCCTTCTGTTAAATAGAGGTTCCAATGATAGTGGTTCCTGCGTTAAATAAAAGGCTTAAATGAGAAAATGTGTGTAAAGGGCTTATCCCAGTGCCTGGCACTGGAAGAGCTCCATAAATAAGAGGAAAAAGAAAAACAAACGAAAAGCTCAGGGGCAAGATTGACATGACCTTGAGTTACTTTAGGAGAAGTGCTGGCATTTTCTCTTCTTCAGTCCATGCATGAGGGACAACTGACCACGTCCTGACCCAACAGTTTAAGCATCTCAAGACCCTGTTGGATTGGTGCTCAGGTTTTAGTGAGTCCTCCAAGAGTCTCCCCCAAGATCACTTTACATCTTCCTGAAATTCAGAAGGTCAAGATAATGGAGCTGGCATTTTGCGCTGGCCTTAAAATTGAAAGAGGGTGATCAGCTTTCCACTATCACTGGTGAGGACAGAATGAGAACCAATGAGCTACTTCTGCAGACTGGATTTGGGACGGCTCCAAAGCACTTCCTGATGCACAAGTTTTGTAACCCCTCCGTGCCTCAGTTCTGGAATCTGTAAAATGGGGATAATGAGAACATCCATCTCATATCATTGTTGGAAAGTTCTATGGGTTAATATACATCAAGTGTTTAGAAGGTCTCTGATATATAGCCAGTGCTAAAAAATGGTTACTCAAAAAGTGTTAGAATTATTGTGGAAGTTAATGACAGGAATTCTTCTCATAAACCGCTACA